GGCTGGTCTTGAGAGTACTGATCATAAGCGTGATGGAGTTACATAGAGTGTGATAGGTGGTTAAGCCAGAATCGATAACTACAGCAGTCAATCTGCAGTGCCCAGCCACGGTCTACCCGTAGGATTGGCGAAATCAACTTTCTGCTCTCTCTTTGTGCTGACAGGGATTCAACAATACGTCTGCAGAAGCCACGTCCTATCACCATGCCGAACCTGAGGAGCAGCGGTAAGCCTTAATGGTCATCCGGCCACTCGAATTTCCTTCCTTTTGATTTTGCGGTAATACGCATTGGGCAGCTTTAGAAAAGGGCACCCCGCGCTTCGAGTACGCCATCGTCTTGGTCTGTCTTAAGTAAGCATGCGTCGTACGCCAGTCATTTTTTGGTGAACGTCGTAGTCCCTACTTTACGAAAATTGTGTGTGTATGCATCGTCAGGCTCCAAGCGAAACTATTGCACTTTAGGTTAACAGCGCTTGAACGCTATTTGAAAACATTTATGTGCTAAAGCAAATATAAATAACCCAAAGTATGGGCAGCTATATTTAAGGCTAATATATTTTTATCTAAAAAAGTCCTGAATGAAAAAAATACGCCTTCTGTGTGCCGCAGGTAGGCTAAATTAGCAAACTTGTTTCTGTCGCACCTAGCAAAATGCGTGAGGCCAAGTTCCTGCGATTGCAAGAGCACTAGGCCAAAAATTAACCAGGTAGTGTACTCGGGCCTCATGATGGGACTATAGCTTGCGTCTTCATGCGACGCACGTATGCACGAAACAGCTAGAACTGTGGACACCACGTAGTCTTACATGATTATGCGTGCACACGTAAGTGTAACTCCCACAGTCCATTTGCTTAAGTTTGATTAGGTAACTGTAGGGTTTATCATGGGTTACGCAAAAGCCGACAACAAGGAGCGTTCAAGACCTACAGCGTTTAGATTACATTTGTCCTGTGCAGCATTCAGGAACAGCTCAGGTGTTTTATGTTTTACAGGCCTATCGAAGCCGCACCGTCCTGACGGAACGAAACATATTCGCGATAAAACTTCACGGACAAGATAGGACGATAGTGATTCCCCATTTGCAGTGCTCACGGCTTTAAACGTGACATCGATGTCTGTAGTGTAGAGAATATGCGCAGCTGCTCGTACTTAGACTACGGCTGGAATGGCTATAGTACGAGAATTTGTCCATTTTTTATTCACTCGGCTTCCAACACACCTCTTACTATTTTTTTTCTTTTTTTCTGTTCCGAACAACATAATGACCCACTGCGTACTTCGTGAGCCTATTTAAGTTGTTCACCTAAAATGCCCAAGGCAGTGAATTGGGGCTGCAGTACTGCCTCTCTCCGTACAACGTCCACGGGCTACACAGAGACGAAAGAACAATGCTTAACCAAATTTATCTATTACACATCAATTCCATGCTCGTTGAAGTGTCATGTGTCGTCGTTCCCATAGAAGCTAGCACCCGATTTTCCTCTGGCATACTGTTGTGGAACTCTGTGGAGTATTCTATAGTGTTGGCTCCGATGTCAGTACTAGTGTTGAAATGCGAAACGCCGTTAGGAGACAGAGCAGAGGGGGTAGGAGCCGTAGTATGGGCATTGCTTGGCTCTAAATTGTTTAGGTTTAATTCTTGAGGTGTTAGTTAATCGGTAAGGTTTTGTGAACCACACAAACGGGTGCTAAGCTGGTCAAAATTGTTAATATAGCGAGTTGGTTCATGATTTATGCAAATATGAGCGCAACAAGCAGATAGGGACTAAAAACGCTTGGTGGTAAGCGCTTGTTTGTCTTTCTTTTCCAGTCTACGTATAACGCTCATATACTTCACTGTGAATGCTAAGCTGCTTGTCCGTGCCACCTAGTGGTGTGCCGCCTAATGCCGACTGCACCGCTTGGCTGGAAATGGGTCGTGTTATTTCTGGGCATATCAGTTTGCTTCTGCCGCGCAGTCTGTTGTTACTTCATTGTTCCCATGAAAAATCCCCACATGCAGAAAAAGCAGAAAAGCCACCGCTCAATTTCACCTTAAGAACATACTCACAGGAGTCCCATCATGCTTCGGCCAGTGGGCCGTATTGCATATTTCAGTTGGTGGGAACGGTTTCATCCTGTCACACTTTAGGCTGACATACATGACGTCCTCGAGGTAAAAAAATGCAGCCATGGCTGCGGAGTAACGCGTCGCGTTCAAAAGAAGGAGATGGCAAATATTTGTGGCCTGTGTTCATTCAGACCGACCATCAATTACCAGAGGCGTACATCAATTACCAGAAGCTGTTGAACACGCACCTTATTTGTCCGTAAATTTTTGTGATTGATTACACACGCAACGATAAAGAAGTATTAATGAATGGTGGGTTTTAAAAAGTTCCTTCAACCACTTGAATGTTCACATCCAAAATCGTCATTTAAAAGAATACGGTTCGAGATATTTAAGGACATTTTATAAATTTCAAAGTGTCTTCAGCGAAAGCCTGCAGCTATTTGACTGACTGTCATGACTTTTAGTTTTTTTTTTTTTGTGCACTCCCAGTGCAATCATGGGCAAGCAGAACATGTGCTGCGCTTTGTTTCTTTTCAACTTTCACCGTGAATCGGACTAATCCAAAGCCCTTTCTTCTTCAGTTTCGCATGCGTTTGTATCAAGGAGGAAGGAGGGTTCTTGGTTTGTATAGTCCTGCTTTGCGGATCGTGCCAACGCCATCAGCCTTCCAACTCTCGTAAAGCTCATTTATCCTTCCGCGTCAAAAAAACACTATAGCGGACACTGTGCCAGGGGATTGGACAGTGAACATCAATGTGTATAAGTCATTAAAGGCTTCCAGCCTAAAATTCTTGACGGACCGCTACTTTACGCCATTTGCCACGGCGGCGTGCCTTGTATTTTCGGGTTGCTTTAACACACCGTAATATTACTGGTGTAAAAACCCGATACGCACTGTTTACATGGTACTGAAAAGACACACCATAAAAATAGTTATTTCGTAGGGCTCGGTGTTATTATACGCTATAAATGTTGCTCTATTAAAACCTTAAAGGTTTACATCGATGAAGACATTGGTTGTGTGTCATTTAATCTTAAGTTTAATTATAGTGTAGAAATCTTCAGATTGCTTGCTACAATGCTGATTGATTGATATGTGGGGTTTAACGTCCCAAAACCACTATATTATTATGAGAGACGCCGTTGCTACAATGCTTGAAACAGCTGTAAAATGAGGGGAACAGCCTTTAAAACTGTTCAGAGTTAAGCTTCGGCATCAAATTCGGCATTGGGAGGTAAATGGAAGCTACTCGCGCCGATAAAATTAGCATCCAAGAGAGCAAATCATACAATTGTTATCCGCCAGCTACACGTTAGGTGTTTTAATCAGCTTTTTAGTGACTGCAGCGAACTTACTTCTTTGCATAGAACCATTGTAGGCAGTAGTGTTTCTACAGAGTTTCACTTGGCATTCTTATAATTCTCTGTGCTCTGAGGTAAGCTATAGCCTTTTTAATTATAGTTTGCATGATTACGCGTTTAAGGCAATGAGCACTCGCGCAAAGCTCCCCACCCTTGACCCAACCACAATGTACCATTGCAGTTGCGTGTGTCATTCAATCTGACAACGGGTTGAAGGCGAAAGCCAAGATAATACAGCTTACCTTTTTACGAAGTGCTGGTAATAGCAAGCGAACACTGATTGTCATGCCAGAGAGGAACATTGCAACTATCCGCAGCACCTCGTATGCGTAATCGTGCAGTTCAACTGTGGAGCGGGACATCTCGAAGTGCCAGACTTCGTCTTCCACACGACGTCTTCCACACGACGTCTTCCACACGACGTCTTCCACACGAAGTCTTCCAGACGAAGTCCGCTAGACCAAGTCATGCCAGACGAAGTTTTTCAAGTGGAACTGCCTAAAAATATGACTGTTTCCCACTTTTCAATACAAACATGCTCCTTTCCTTGTGGCTAAATAGTCTAACAAGTGATCGTTAACCACGTGGTCAGTAGCTATAAATATTCTCACTTTGTATCCCCCTTAAAACGTACGTTATCTGGAAAGGTGTTTTCCATATTCTTCCCAATGCTCACTTATGAGAAAACCATAAAACCCAACTTTAAACAATCAGTATACTGTTACCAGGAGTGTTCATAAGGCTTTCCAAAGAAAGAGCTTTACTCGAGGTTGTGTGAGCTCCACTCTACAAAGTTGCTCAAGCTTGTTGTATGCGTACGCGTGTATGTGCGTGCGTACGTACAAGCATATATTGCCATCGGGCGTCAGAATGAGTATCATAATGACGTCGTAGTTTAAATCCGGTCATCTACGACAAAAGGAGCACACGTTACGGCGCCTTTTTCTCTAAAGGCCACGTAGTGGGTGCTTAGCAAGTTCGAGAAGATTTCGTGCACCAAGTGCTTGAAGTACGCAGTAGGGACAGGATACCGCTATCGCGTTCAACTCTTGAAGATAGCCATACTTATGCTGCATGCATGTACGGCAAAGAATTCTTCATGACTGTTCCATGGCCTTGGCGTACTCAGAATGACGTGGTTGCCCACTGTCGAACGCTGTGCTTGCATTGTAGCGCACCGTTTGTGTACACCCTTTCACCAAGGTATATATAGACTCGTAGCGAAGGCTCCATAGAAGCCTATAGATTGAGAAAATGGCGGCTGATAAGCTGTTCCTGGGGCTTAGCGCCATCTCTGAGTAGAGAACACTGCCAGCAGAACAAAAAAATGAAGCAGATGTGATGCAATAGCTGGTAAACAAGTGGCATTATTTTTGTGCGCACTGGCGCGAAATTTGATTTCAAATTTCACTAAGGGTTCACGCTAAGGCAATCACCGGCGAGTCATTCACGAGTGCAGTTCAAGTCTTTTTTTTACCATGGTATTTAATAAAGTACTTGGGCAATCATGACAAAATCAAGCGAACAAAAGTACAATCAAATCGCGAAAGTAAGCGTTCAAGTGTTACTCATAAACACTAAATGCCTAGCACAGCGCGAGTTCTTCACATGGAGAGTTCTTCACAATGTGTTATACAAACAAAAAAGGGGTGAGGTCAAACAGTTCTCTAAGACGGCGAACAAAACTTCGAAGAATAGGTTTCCTTGTAAAACCGAGGCAAAGTGAAAGGCATCACTACATATTCATGAGTCCGTATTAAATTATCTGGCTTTGACTTGAAGTGCAATGATGCACTTCAACTCAAAGCCA